ATTTGCCAGAATAGCCTTGTTTGTTTTTGTGAAAATAAGACAGTTGATATGTCACGATTGTTATTAAATATAATATCTAGAGAGAGAGATTTTTTCCTCGAATTCAATCACAAAGACGATCTAGTTTCTAGATAGATTCGAATAAACTATTATCATATGCATGAAGAACAAAATACTGCTATATAAAACTGTTAGGTTAGATATAACTTAATAATTGTTCATCAATCATCCTAGAGAAAGTCCAACTTGAGTCTAAATTTCCTACCAAACAACGATTGTTTGTTTGAGTATTATCGAAAGCATCTATAAGCTGATCTATCATCATCAAATTGATTTCGTTGTACATGTTAATTCAAAGAAAACGTTACATACATCAGATATGAATAAGCGTAGATTGTTCAATTAAATTAAATAGTATCCATTTCGTCAGAAAGATTATTCAGCGTAACTAATTGTAATGTAACACGACCAGTATTCAAATAATATATGCCCTCAAAAATACATTGTCGGCTTCAATTACAACGTATCTATGATTATTGTTTAGCAACCATGGACAAAGTATCTTCATATTGTGAAAACCATCACTAATATTTCGTGAATCTAATTGAAGATTGATATTAGTGTAAACTATTTAGTTTAGATTGATGTTTGATAAATTCAAATGAATTTCTAATTATATTAATCACCAACTGAATCGGACAGATATGGAATTCATTAGATCTCGAGAAGTTATCACATTTGACATAAAAGGCAAACGAAAAGCTTCGTCGCAAGTGCATCAAACTATTTTCTTATATGTTTTTTTCACGGATCGTAGCGACAATTCGCAAGACAACTAAAGTAAACAATGATTGCATTCAGTATTAAATAGCATAGAATTCGACAAAGCCAAAGTCTACTTAAATACCATATTTTTCAACTATGAATAATGAGTCGACAAATTTATGTTACTTTTTATACCTTCAGAGAAAATTTAATGGTATAAATTGATAAATAATGTAACTCATTCAATCATTTGTAAATCCGACAGACAAATAGACGTGTAATTGTTTAAGATTTTCTCAATTTTAAAACTTTCAGTATTTATAATTTTATTAAATTTGTCAAAATGAGAAATAGTGAAGATTGTTGAACTTATCGATTATAAATTATGTATTAGAAATCAAAGCCGGTGAAGCTACGATACTTGGATAAATTGAAGCCTATGCTAGATTCAGATATCATAGGTTCAAATATTTGTTTCTCGCTCCATCAGATTGATTGATTTATGTAATATATCAAAATTCTCATACAAACGTCAAAATTTTTCATCGTCTTTGGCGACAAATAGCAACATTTTCGTAGTCAAGTGGGCTTGAGAAAACATTGACTTTTGTATGACTAAAAGTTAGTACCTACATTGTCAATGATTTGAAACAGTTCTCGTTTGTTTGCTATAAGTGAAGAAGAAATATACGAGAAACTTGGGTTAGATGAACTAAAAGCTGCCGAAAGTTTTCTTCGACTTCAGTGATAAGAAATATTTTCAACAAAGTAACCAAACTCACAATGTAATTCTTTCATTCTGTTTTTCAGAAAAGTAAATCGAAAAGTCTTCTTTCAAGAGTCGAAATTAAATAAAAACACTGTTGCTGTGTTTATTTAAGTGCACATCTTCTGACATCAATTGCGAATTTTTCTCTAAACCATACCGGTTTTATACAGTGCAAAATGTCAGTTGAAAATAAGGAGCACTTATTGTATTTGATCGAAATGACATAACAAGATTCATCCCTCTCCTTTGTACTTTAGGTTTCTCGGTAGTGACATTATAAAGATCATTGAGCCTATTGTTCTGTCGTTTATTATCAAGTAGCATAAATTAAACTAATGATGTTCAATAAGCCATTTAAAACTAAGATAGATATCGACTGATGCATTTTTACAACTGTTCGCAATTCAACAGATACAATTTTCTATACTGATGTTTAGAGAAAAATATATGTTCTGTGTTGTAAAAGTCACAACGAGATCGTTAGAGTCACAATTATTGTCCTGGTTTCCGAATTGTTTTTGTGTATGTTCTGCAACCTAACTAGTTATGAAAAACTTAACGAAAACAAAGCATGTTTTACCGGTAGAAATTGACATTGAATCATTCTAGTATAATATTGAATGTTGCACAGAGAAATAAAAGAGACTACAACAAAGCCTCTGTTTGATTTATCTTGGCTTCTGATTTTCTTCTTTGTTTTTAATTAACCCATATAAAATTGTAGGCACGTAGTGACACCCACTCATTTTATCGAAAGACATGAGAGAGAGACCGAAAAAAAAAGAACAAAATGTATGAAGCCATCTTTTTTTTTATTTAATTCATTATTCTGCATCAACGCGATCGTTCGCCAGATTTTGTTCTTTACGTAGAAATAAACAAGACATTCAATTCAATATTTAATAAGAAATTTTTTGATTGAATTAAATATCAACTGTCCAGTAAATCAAAATATGTAAGTTAAAATGGATTTTCAATAATATAGATTTGTTTTTTCTCTCTCGTTTTTACGATAGAATTTTTAAATTATCAGTAATAAATATTTAATCAAATAATAATAATAATAAGACAAAATATAATCAAAATAGGACTTGTGCATATAATTCAAGAAATAAAATAAAAACAAAATGAAAATGAAGTAAATTTTCTATTAATTAAAAATTTAATGATTTTAATAATATTTATTTAATAGAGCTTTCGGATTCTACCGATCCATCACCAGTATTAGCATGATATTGTAATTGTGCCTATTGAACTTCAAATTTTATTTTATTTCATTTGAATTATACGTACAAGTCCTATTTGATTATATTTTGTCTTATTATTATTATTTGATTAAAAATTTGAAGTTCAATAGGCACAATTACAATATCATGCTAATACTGATGATGGGTCGGTAGAACCCGAAAGCTCTATTAAATAAATATTATTAAAATCATTAAATTTATAATTAATAGAAAATTTACTTCATTTTCATTTTGTTTTTATTTTATTTCTTGAAGTAATAAATATTGTTTCCTATCAATTACGGATTGAGTTAATTAATTTTTTTTTAATGTAGGGCTATCACATCAACTCGCGTAACTACTCAACAACCACAACTATATTACAGACCAATTAATAATACGTTTAATTTAGTAGCAAATGAAAAAGTATTTCGTGAATGGGATTATACAGACAATTTATGTTGTTGTAATGGTTCATATCATACTGTTTTAACTGATATTCGACTTTTGACACGTTATCAAGAATATATTGGTTGTGCGAATGATTCAGAATCTTCACATACTGATTCGGCTATTTTCTTACGTGATATTGATCAAATTCGTGAATGTCGTGGCGAACAACCAACATTTTTCTTTCTTCTTTGGATAACATTAATATGCGCATGGCCATGTTATATTTGTCGTCGAATTTTTTGTCCAAAACCAAAATGTCTCGAAGTTTTTGGTAGATTTGGTTCGGAATTAGTTCGACTGAAAAAAGAAGATATGTCAGCAGCCCAAGTGGATATATCAACGGCAGTTATCAATAGCAAACTTGTCGGACGATATTAAATACATATTTTAAACTAATGTATTTCTTTTCATTTATTATGTAAAAATAATGTAATTCGATAATAATATCAATAAAATGTATGATCAACGAAAAATAATTAGATACACAAGTACGAAATAATTTTTTTTGTGGTTAAAAAAATAATAAATTCTAATTTTCGTTTGCATTAAGAAAACACAGCACGTACCGACTTTTTTTTATTAGACAAAGTATTTGTTTTGACTTATTCATACTGTAATGTGTGGTCCAATGCTTTCTTGTGCATTGACATCGGAAAAAATGATTTTAGGAAGTATTTTATGAACAAGCAAAGTAGCATTTTAAATTTTAAATTTTTGACGTTAAAAAATATTCAAAAGAAGGTAGCTATTATTCTACTAATTAAAATATATGAACTAAAAAATTCCTCATTGCTTGGGTTGGAAAATAACACAACTTAACAGTATAATACATTTATATTTTACATATGATATAGGAACCATGCAAATTTCAAAGACAAATAAACATCGATAAAAAATATTATTCAAAAAGCATAAGCTTATAAGATCAGTTCTTTATTTTCATCTTTTTCCATTTTTTTGTAGTTTAAAAATAATTTAAAAACACTATTTTGCCTGAATTTCAACTTTACTTGAAACATATTTTTTATTTATTGGGTAAGGAAAAAACATGATATACTATCGTATAATACAAAAGTTAAAAAACATAGTTTTTAAAACAAAAGTTAATATGAATTCATATATACATACATGAAGAACTTTGAAGTGTGTTAATTGTAAAGATTAATTAATATTTTTTTAAACAAAAACCAGTATGTGTATTTTATATTTTAAATGGCAGGATCTAAATTACTTCGATGCCATCGAAATAGATGTCTACGTCGATACTTTTGAGTTTGATGGGTGTGGGTGTAGAAGAAAATAATATCTACACTCACACTCACACCCACCCTTCTTTGATAATGGAAAGTAAAAGCATGCAATTAATCAAGTCAGTTTTCTAAAAATCGACTTTATTTTGTAATTCTTCTTATTTTTTCATTTTATCTAGATCGTTTTTTGAAGATTTAGCAAATGAAATTTTGTATGAAATATTTGAATATCTTGATTTATACCATGTTTATGATGTGTTTTTTTATCTCAATCAACGATTTCAAACTTTACTTCTTAATTCAACCATTCCAATAAAAATTAACATTCCAACTGTATTTAAATCAAATGCTGAAGGTTATTATGAAAAAATGATTATTCGAAAGAAACATTGAATTAATATTATTCGTTTATCAAATCCATTTATTGTTGATATCATATTTTCACCAACTCATGTTATTTCAAAATTTATTCGTCTTGAAATACTAATACTTGATAATATTCATACAAAAAATCTTCATGAAATTTTTCTTGAATTAATGTGTTTACCTCATTTACATTCAATGGTTCTTCATCCTGCTGAATATGTTCAAAGTTCAATTGATATTTTTTCTGAAATATTTCTTTTATCTACATTAAAATATTTCAAACTTACATATCAAATGAGAATCTATGAGGATTCATTATCCAGTTACTCTTGGCAATATGGTCATAGTACAATTGAACATCTCACCATTAATACTTGTTTTCCAGATAGTTTATTAATTGATTTATTAGTTTGTTTTCCAAACTTACGTCGTTTATCAATTAATTATCTCACTCACTCACATTTCGATGATACTAAATTACGCATTTCTCAATCATCAAAAGATTTAAAATGTGTTACACTTAAACTGGATCTAATAACATTTAATATATTCGAAAAAATTATACAAATTTCTTTTATTATGTTGAAATTTTACAAATTGTAACACAATATGATTCAGCATATTTAGATGCGAAATGATGGCAACATATCATAACATATCTGATGCCAAATTTACGTGTATTTGATATAATTCATGAAGGTTTTCGATCCAAAACTGATTTACCCTATCGTGATTTATTGGATAAATTTAAATCGCCATTTTGGATTGAAAAAAATGGTTCTTTACGTCTCAACGTAGTTGGCGTATAGTTTTGATGGTGGGGTGTTTTATTCAACTGAACCATATAGGTAAATAGCCAATTTAATTAAAAATAGATTAAACATCAGCTTAGTTCTATTTGTTTAGAAGAAAATATTTCAAATATTATTCTCAATCAAATGAAGAAATCAGTTGTTATTTCGAAAAAACAAATTTATATAAAGTTGAATATTTATATGTATATACTTTAAAAAATGATGATGATCCAGTTAATTTCTTCCCCAATGTTACTCAGTTAACCGTTGGATGCTCAATTTATCATGGTTCTGAACAAATTCTCAATCGTCTTATTCCTCTTAATAAACTTATAATATTAATATTCAAACAGGGTGTGGGTGTGGGTGTTGGTGTGTGTGGGGTAAATGAACTTATGATGATTCAATCTATTGTGTTATATGACTTTAATGACGTGATCGAAGAATAAGTAAGCAATCAAAAAAATGATTCAAAATTAGGGGTGGGAAGTTACCGTTACCCGGGAGTTACGTTACCGGATAACTAGTAACTTTTGAGTTACTAGTTACCGAGTAACTAGTAACGCCGGAGTTACCAGTTACCAGGTAACTAGTAACTTCGAAGTTACTAGTTACTTTTTGTAGGTAACTTGTCTAAAAAGTCGAGATATCGCTTCCTAATGACTGAATATCATCTATTCATCACTCAATTAAATTACGAGTTACTTAGTAACTAGTAACTCCTATGTGCGTTACTAGTTACCCGGTAACTCGTGAGCTGAATAAGTACTGTAATGATGGTATTCACTCATTAGGAAGCGATATCTCCACTTTTTAGACAAGTTACCTACCAAAAGTAACTAGTAACTCCGAAGTTACTAGTTACCTGGTAACTGGTAACTCCGACGTTACTAGTTACTCGGTAACTCGTAACTTGCGAGTTACTAGTTACTTGGTAACGTAACGGTAACTTCCCACCCCTATTCAAAATGCATTAATACAAAAGAGATACTATAATAAGAATATCTTGTATTCCTTCTTGTTTGAATTTCATGTATCGGCTAGTAGAATTCACTGATCGATATTGATAATCTTCTTTCAAGATTGTATTTACAGTTTTGTCTTCTTGAATAATAAAGGATTAGAACAGATAAATGACGTGTTTCATAAATCAAATAAATAATATAATGATGCAAACAGCTTATGATAGTATTATGCGTTTGTCTAATATCTCAACAAAGGAAACCTCGTGATAAAGAATCTGATTATTGTATCAATAATAAGTGTGTTGGCTATTCACATACAAAAAATAATATCCATATCAGATCAAAATTTCTTTGGGTTTGAATAGAATTTTCATCGATATTCTATTCATTAAAATATGTATAATAAATGATTAAGACTTTATCATGTATGTACAAAATATTGACGTATATAATATGGAATTATGAATGTTTAAACATTTTATTATTCGTTGGTTTTATTGGTTAACTTCACTGCATGTAATAGAACTAATGATAATTATTTAAAATAAATTTTAATTGTAGAAAATTAAATTTATTTTAAATTTCAGCAAAATACAGTTTCTAGAATATAAAATCAGTTCTTTGCTTCAATCAATATTTTTTCAAGAATCTTCTTATTGAAATCAGATTGTGTGCTAAAAGATGAATAAGTTCGAAAAAAATACTTCTCTTTTTTTTTATATTATTTGATTCTAAAATATTTTTTTTTTCAAAATTTCTTCAGTACTTCAAAAATCGAAAAACATAATCATTATATGATTTTCTTACAACATTCGATAATATTCTTTTCTTATTGATGTGACAAAAATAATGCATTTATATTCATTTTTAATGTATTCTACTGAATTCCATGTGAAACATTGTATCAGAAGATTGTATGAGTACTCTTCACAATGACATATATCATAGTTCGACTAAATTATAAAGATGTAATCCGATCAACAAATAAAAAACAAATGTATAATAGCAATCCTATATATCATAACTAGTTGCAGATATTGTATTTATGTATTTGAACAAATATCAAAAATAAGAAAAATCAATATAAATTACAAATTGTGAAAATATAGAGAGCAGTGTAAATTGATGCATTGATGAGTGGCAGCGGCTGGAAATGATCGACACTTTTTTCAAAATTTTTGCTAGTTTCGAGGAATTTTAAAATGAAAAAATGAGAAAATAATGCTAGAGACCATAGCGATTAGATATCAGACAAGACCGTCTGTAAAACTGACCTTGGGTATCGAAAATTTTCAAGAGTCTAGTACTATCTATTTTTATGTCACAGTGGTGGCGACTTGTATTTTCAGTAGTCATTTACAGCAACAACAGAGGCGCCCCTGAGCCACTATAGCAACTGTTTCGAAGGCTTAACCGATCGGATCACACCTCTAATCATGAGTGAAAGCACAGTCAATAGAAAAGTGTTGATCCTATCATTTCTGATGTGTTAATTTATAAAACAAAGAATGTGATTTCGATTTCTGTTCATCCTAGTGAAAGAAAAACAGTACTAAACTTGAATTCAATAAATAAAGTATATTTATTAACACCAGCTATCATTTATGTAGATAAAGTATTGCTTTGACAAACTGCATATTTTTTCTACTATTTATTCTAATTCGTCTGTGTAACATTTTCATCAGGATTCTTCATTCATCTTTTGAAATGAAATCCAATAAACAATTTGTTTTCACGGCTGACGTTTTTCACATTCTTGGTGTTCATTCACTTTTTATTCTTTCTTTTCTTTCTCCGCAAATGATGTCTTGTAAAAACACGTTATTTCGGTCACTGTTAATCGAAAGAAAAAAAATATGTGAAAAAAAAAAGATTTACAATTGAATGAGATTAAAATACATGTTATGATGAAGTAAAGCGAGCCGCAGATATAGTTACCGCTTACAATAGCAACAATTATTAAACAATGAAAGCAACAAATTCTAGTTTTTATCTATAACAAACATAAGATAAGAAGAATAAATGTATGCTGACAATATTTTACATCTCCAATAAGATTAATAAGTTATGCAAAGTGTTCCTAAGAATTCTTCTAGAATAAAAATACTTATGTTTTCTTTAGTCATATGCTCTGGATGTACGATTGTTATTTATACAATCCATTAAATTGAGTACTATGTACGTTTTCCCAAATAACAATTTCTTTTGGTTAGATTAGAACTTCAAATGAAAGAATTCAATTCTCAACAAAAAAGTGCAAGAACTTGCTTCGATTTATAAATTAAAAAAAAGAAATTTACATTTATATATGACACATTTGCACAGTTATTTCCCTTCTAACATCATTCTATTGAAATTTCGTTTATAGACTTCTATTCTACACCATTTTTCTTTCGCGAAAAAGATTAAAACTAAATTGTACACTATGATGGATAGAAAACCAATACCTGTTATTAGAAATCTTGTGTATTGTCAATAATAATAAAAAAAATTAAGAATGAGGATGTGGATAAAAGGACTTCCGTCCACAACTACATCCTATACTCAATCAACATTACAAACTTGAAAGTCTTGTATGAAATGGGGTGACAAAAAATTGTATATGTATAGCTACTCTAACGATTTTACTTTGTCGTTACATTCGTCGTATTGCACTTGTTTCAGTTCTCTGTGTAAGTCAAAAAATTTTACAATCATGATAAAGGTGGATGACTCATTGTCAATAAACATATCATGATAGAGAAAAGTAAGTTGCAACAGACATGCATTGTAGCAACACCTACTGTTCGAAAGCAAGCAGTATTAATGTGTGATAAAATTTCTGCGTCTATTTTGACATTACCTATTGAACTTGTCTATCGCATTTTGGATAATCTCAATGACCTGACAATTTTATGCTCAGTTCGTAATGTTTGTACACGACTTAATGCGATCACTGACACATATCATCGATACCAGGTAAATTCAGCTTTATCATAGAGTTAGATTTCGATCACCGTTGAAATAACATATTCAGTTTAACAAATGATTATTTTGATTATTTTACCTGTGGATTTTGGAATAGTAATAGTTCGAGACAGAATTGAAACCGGTAGGTTTTTTGCCTTTCCAGCATCGGTACCGGTCTAAACGGCCAAATTACACTGGATCGGCTGGTATACTGGCATGAGTCATTTTTCATTTTTTTGATCCTATAACATAACAGTGAAATAAAACCCCTGATGAGTAATATCTGTTTCTTATTGACTACAGCAATAACGTCAGAGTTCTGTTTCACTATTTATTTTCATAAGTTTTGTCTCCCTCTGACATCTATCTGTGGACAGAAAACTTGATACGACTACAAAAGTTTACTAACATGAACTTTCACGTAATAAAATAGTCTGATGCATGTTTTCACACAGAAATGTTTTTTACATCAGTAAAAAGTATACGATTTGTGAACAAGAGCGATTCTATGATCAAGTTTTTCAAAAAAGAAAATGCAAAAACTATAAAAAAAGAAGTTGGAATCGACCGATAAAGAATCCTCTACCGGACCAGACTGGTCTTGATCGGCCGTTTACCGTTACCGATTAGAACTCTGGTTCGAGGATAATATTTTGACATTAATGGATATGAGCTAAAAGAGCAGAATCAATTACAATATTCAAGTCACTTTCAAGGATGTTATTGAGTTTCTTATTTTTTCTGGGATGTTTTAACCAACAGAAAAAAAGTTAATCTATTCTTAGAACGCATTGAACATTTTCTCATCGTAGTTTTGTTTTTCTACAATAATTGTAGACAACACTTCTTCAGATGGATTAAATTGAAGACCATAGAAAAGGTCTAGTTGAGTTACATGCATTCTATAGCGTTTGAACTTGAGAAATTTCAACATTCATTAAAGAAACGAAACCATCGACAGAAAATAAACATAATTTTACGAAGTTCCAAAATCTAGGACACTGTAAGAGCTGTCAGAACTTTAAGAAAACTCTGCAATCATAATTGTTATACAATCATCTAACGGCTATCAGGAGGCTCTTATAGTCAAAGAAAATGAATCAGAAATGATTTTGGTGCATTTTTACTCTGACATTTATAGTAATATTTAAATGCAGTGAATGAAATGTCACTTTTAAGGAATCGATTTTGCCTAAAGAGAGATTTACTTAAGAGAATATGGGTGATCTGCGTGATTGATGAAATAATCAGTCGATGCAAAAAAGTTCTCTATTTCATAATTCTTCTCACATAAAAAGGAATTTCCTAACTTACGCGAATACAAGCATTGCATAACAATGAATTGAACATTTTGTATAAGAGATTTCAGATGGTTTAATCAGTCCCTCTGTTATTTAGGTATATATTTTTAATGTCAAAACGCGCCTAATTTGCATTTGGCATTTATATAAGTGATTGACAACACCCATTTCATTATTACATAGTATGATTAGCCAAGACAACATGTCGGTCTTTCCGTAACATCCTCAGTCGTATGATCTGCTACATGTAATATTCTATCCTCAATCTCACTAGAGAAACTCGCCCTTTACCAGGTTTTCTGCATTTACTCTCGTTGTTAAGATACTTCATGTGGCTCTAAGAGTTTCATGAATTCGAAATTCACAACATTCGATCATCGCTGATCAGTCATGATATCTAAATGACAATCTGCAGATATGTCGATTGTCCTTTGAAAAAGAGAAAGCGATTTTCCACACAAATATATTGCATGAGTCATGAACTGGTATCTAGATAACAGTATGCTTGTAGAGTAGCATCAGGTAGGATCGGATAAGGACGAAGACTTTTCTTTTCGTATGCTCTGAATTAAGAAATATTTTTGTTGTTCAGGAACGTAAATTATATCTTTGTTGTCTGTTGATTTTGAGTCACATAGTTATAAAAAAGGGTACGAGAGAAAATATGTTACTTTCACGTCGCTAATGGCTCGATTCTACTGATTCATTCATCATTTTAAACCATAATTTTTGTTACTTTCAATCTCCTTAGTTTATATTACTTTCTTTGTCCTTTTATCTGTATAATCTCTCTGTAAATAGGATATTCAACACTATAATAAAGATACATTGATGAGTTTTCATATTTTGTAATGGTTTCATCGATAATAAAGATCGCATAATTTTTGTCTCGATGGATGCTCTGGAAGAGTTTTAAAACTAGTGACACAATCAAAAAATCTTCGAATGCTTGAGAATTGTCCTATCAGTTTTTGAAAATATATAAGATTTGTATCTAAAGTCTTGTTGGCTTCAAAAAGTTGGAAAGACATATTATTAACTGTGATGGACATGTGAGAAGTGGAATTTTTTTTGTTTCAGAAGCAGAATATAATTGATGAAAGCTAATGCAAAGTTGACAATTACTGAGCTAGCGTTTTCTTAGGTTATTTTGGATCTCTCATCAAATGTTAAAAACGCATAACAGTATCAATCCATTTATATGTTAATTATGTTTCTAGATACTTTATTAAATAAATTCTTCTTTTTTTCCTAATAAAATGAATTAAACACATACTCGGCAATAGTCTATAAAAACTCAAACGATTGTTATGAAAAAATGTACAATTAAAAATCCCTGTCTCTCTTGTAGAATCTGTTTGAAAGAAATGCTCAAATGATTAGTTTTCAATTTTATGAGATGAATTAACAGATAGTAAGCAACCACTACTATATTTGTAAACGTTTCATTTATTTGAAAAACATAAAGAGAGAGGAGTAGGTTTACTGTTTTTAGAACCTAAACGCAAATTACATTTCAGATTACCATCAATAAAGGTAAAATAAGTTAAGTCGTCTTCTTTCGTCATCGTCGTTTTTTACTTTAACCTATTTTCTTCATTGTCTGTTTCGCTTTTATCACTTATCGCTGAATTCGATCGCTGTCACAATTGGCGTATTGATTCATTTTGTGGAGTATTGTTGTGTGTTGTCTATATAGTTTGACCTTCATCATCGATTGATTCAGAGTTACAAATTGAACCTCGTAATATACCTTCTTTTCTTCTTTTTTGTATCATTTGTGATGTCGAAAATGATATTAAACTGTTCTTTTAGTCATTGATGTTGATTTCATTTCTTTTTTTGAAATCGTCCAGTTTGGCTTGGAGACATTTGCAAAGTTGACGATGAATTTCTTTCAGAGGAATAATAACATGAAATAAATAGACCAAACTGATTTTCATAAGATTTGCTTAAACTTGCAGATATTTCATTTGATATGGTAAAAACTCCGTGTCTTCTAGTTGATACTCGAGTGACATGTAATCAAGAAATTGTAAAACTATCGGATGTATTTTTTATGAACGGCAACGTTCAAGCAATCTTTCTTTCTTTTGTGTCAACTTTAGTACGGGACGAAAGAATAGACAAACATTATTATATTACAAACCTTTAAATTCGTCCTCATGTCATATTGTATTCTCTTTATACACGTGTTTTTTTGTAAGCGGAACACCACATTGGATTGTGAAGATCTTATATGTCATAAATTCACACATAACGTTTTGTTTTAATCCTTGAATAATAACATTAATTACATTCATTTTTTAAATTGAGTTTCTTTTTAGTACCTGTCATAGAAAAGACAAGACATAACACACATCTTTCTGTTCCATTCTTTTAATAAATAGTCGCTGTAAAATTGATCGAGATTCAATATCGAATAACTGTCAAAAATATTCGCTTTCAATGAAATGGAATGAAGGAAGATTTATAGTAACCATGCCAAGTATTACCACACATAAAAGGCGATAAATGGTTCAACAATGTTTTCAACACAGATAGAAATACTAATAAAAGGCAGGTTATTTCAATTAACGAGAAGCGAATCAAGAAAAAGAGTACATAGAGAGCTATTAAAGTTAACACGCTACAAATGATTGTTGTAACATTTTGCACTGGATAACACAAATTATGCGAATAGTCAAATATTAAAGTATTTCAAATTTTTCTTCCTTTCTTTCTAATAAACGAAAGTTGAAAAATCAATAATTTCCCTTTTCTTAAGACAGGAGAGCAAAAACCTTTACTTTACTTTCTTCTCTGAAAGCAAAAATAACGTGAGAGTACCATCCGTATTGTCTATTTCTACTTTTCAAACAGACACTCACTACACTCGAGTTTCGCTGGCATCAATTGCAAGAGCAAGAGATACAGCATCTTGCTAATGTTCTCATAGGCAACACGGTAATACACCATTTACTATTCATCTTCGTCTTGTCAATCTTCGCTTTTCAACTAGACAATCACCACCCTCAACCTGTATAATACTCCAATCGGAGACCAAGGAATGCAGTATCTTGCTAATGCGCTCGCAGACAACAGGGTAATACACCATTTAATAATCATCTTCGTCTTGTCAATCTCCGTTTTTCAAACAGGCAATTACCACACTCAACCTGTATGATGCTCGAATTGGAGACCAAGGGATGCAGTATCTTGCTGATGCGCTCGCAAACAACAGGGTAATACACCATTTACTAATCATCTTCATCTTGTCAATTTCCACTTTTCACACAGACACTCACAATGATCGACCTTAGCAACAATAAAATCCAAGACCAGGGAGCACACTATCTTGCTAATGCTCTCACAGAAAACACAGTAATACATCATTTCCAACTCGTCCGCGTTTTGTTAATCTTTGCTTTTCAAATAGACGCTCACCACACTCAGCCTGTATAATGATCAAATCGGCGACCAAGAGGGACAACATTTTGCTAATACTCTCAGAAACAATACAGTAATACACCATTTATTATCCATCTTCACCTTGCCAATCTCCCCTTTTCACACAGATACTCACCACACTCATACTTAGCAACAATAGAATTGAAGACCTAGGAGCACAACATATTGCCACTGCTCTCATAAGTAACAAGGTAATACACAATTTTCTATACATCTTCGTCTGTTCAATAACTATTTTTCATACAGACACTCATCACACTCAGCCTTCAAGGTAACCTTATCGGAAACCGAGGAGCACACCATCTTGGCAATGCTCTCACAAACAACAAGGTAATACACCATTTACTATTTATCTTCGTCTTGTCAATCTTCACTTGCCACACAGACACTTATCACACTCAACCTTCAAGATAATCTAATTGCAGCCGAAGGTGCACAGCATCTTACCAATGCCCTCATAAACAACACAGTAATACACCATTCACTACTCATCTTTATCTTGTCAATCTTCATTTTTTACACAGACACTCACTACCCTTCAACTTAGAGGTAATGGAGTCGGAGTCAAAGGGACACAGCATCTTGCTAATGCTCTCACAAACAACATGGTAATACACCATTTACTACTCATCGTTGTCTTGTCAATCTTCATTTTTCATACAGGCACTCACCACGCTGAACCTTAGAGGTAATGGAATTGAAGTCGAAGGGGTACAGTATCTTGCTGTTGCTCTCACAAACAACACGGTAATACATCATTGACTACTCGTCTTCATCTTGTTAATCTCCAATTTTGACGCAGACACTCACGACACTCAATCTTGGATATAATGGAATCAGAGATTCAGGCGCACAATATCTTGCCAATAGTCTCAGTAGCAATACAGTAATACACTACTTACTACTGATCTTCGTCTTGTCAATCTTCACTTTTCACATAGTCACTCATCACACTCACCCTCACATACAATCGAATCGGAGACGAAGGAGCATGGCATATTGCCAATGCTCTCACAAACAATACAGTAATACACTGGCTATTACTCATCTTCGTCTTGTCAATCTTCATTTTCCACACAGACACTCACTACACTCGACCTTAGTAGAAATGAAATCCAAGATCAAGGAACACAGTATATTGCCAATGCTCTCACAAACAACATGGTAATACATCATTCACTACTTGTCTTCACCTTGTTAATCTCCAATTTTTGACGCAGATACTCACAACACTCGACCTTGGACATAATCGAATCAGAGATTCAGGCGCACAAGATCTTGCTAATAGTCTCAGTAGCAATACAGTAATGCACTATTTACTACTGATCTTCGTCTTGTCAATCTTCACTTTTCACATAGACACTCACCACACTCGCCCTTACACACAATCGAATCGGAGACGAAGGAGCACAGCATATTGCCAATGCTCTCAAAAACAACACAGTAATACACTAGCTATTACTCATCTTCGTTTTGTCAATCTTCATTTTCCACACAGACACTCACCACACTCGACCTTAGTAGGAATGAAATCCAAGACCAAGGGGTAGAGCATATTGCTAATGCTCTCACAAGCAACATGGTAATACATAAGTTACTATACATTTTCGTGTGTTCAATCACTACTTTTCATACAGACACTAATCACACTCAGCGTTGCAACTAATCGAATCGGAGAGCAAGGACAACGACGAGCAATAGAAATTCTGAACGGAAACAAAGTGGTGAAGGTGTTCTGGTGATGACTTTCAGTTTCGCTTCGAGACAGTTGCATTCGTATATTTCGCATGATGCTATCTGTTCATGCAAACGCTTCGGTTTTTGAGTTGAAAAATTTGCTGGGCCTTGTTTTGTCAAGAAATCTTTCTATTGTGTCACTTCATCAGATACCAGAGGACTCAAAGTTCGATGTTAAACAGAATTGGTTTGCGCGGTAGGTTTGGGTGGGTGTGAGTGTGGGGGTGTGGGTAGGTGGGTGCATGTGAATGTCAGGGTATGAATGTGTGAGTATGTAGGTGTGGATGTGAGGATGTGGATGAGGATGCGAGCAGGGGCGGCGGAACGTTTTGAAATTATAGGTGAGGCTCACTTTAAACCAATTGTTTTTGATGAGATGGTTGTTCATGTATAAAAATAGGGTTAGTTCAGAGGTTTTCAGGTGATTAGTCATTTAAGACTTTAATTTCGTACTTTCAAAAGAAGTCCTGTATCTTCTTCTATTCTCTGTGAATTGAATTTCTGAGTCTGTAATGGAAAAGAAGAGTTTCAGTAAAACTTTCAACCGATGAATTTCCAATCTCTACCGGTCCGGTTCTAACTCTGATGAATATCAATCTTTTTAATTAGCATAAGAATATAAGTGGTTACTCAAAGTTTAAATATTCATCATCATATTTTGCCTAGCAGTACGTCATATAACTACTTTCATTGACGGATTTTTCACCAAATAGAAAGTCGCTTCTATCATTCGTATGCTATGTATAACAAAAATCAATGAAACAGAACAATTCAAAATATTTTTCAACAAAAGTGATGGTTTATTTTTTTTTTCTACTTTTCTATTAATCATTGATATTATTGCATAACTTAGATAAAAGATTCATGAAGACGAGTCTCGCATGTATGCAAATATATTCACACCCATATCCAGGTGTTAGAGTAATGTATTAGTATTATAAATGGTACAAAACAAATACTTCGTTGCCCGATTTCAGAAACCAATTTTGAATCCGATGTCGTACTCTATCACATCCCACGCCTTCACTTACTAGTTGTTTACATTCGTAGAAATAGCGAACGGTCAGAGTTAAATGAAATGCCAGATATATGAACATGAATCTTTTCTTTTTGTTAAATTTTACTGAAGTAATGCTCTTTCTACAAGATTTTTCATTTTATATTCTTGATTCTACAATGCATTCTTTCCAATTATATACCTATCTAATGGATCAATAATTTTGATTGAGACAATTATATTTTGTACACTATAGCTTTTTAAAATTTTCAAGTGATAACAAAATTGATGAGTTTATAAAGCCTTATTTTTTAAATGATTACTTTTTTGAACATTTAGTTTTCAACATTTGATAAATACGATTAATAAAAGATAGAGTCAGCGTTGGAACCGGTCCGGCTGGACCCGTACCGGACCGATTTAGAAAGTCAACCGGGCCGGTAAATACCGGAAACTTACCGGTTTAAGTTTAAAAAATATTATCTTTACTTAGCTCTTATTCGATAAGAAGAACTATGTATTTTGCTATGAAGTAGAACAAATTCTCCATCATTATACATATATGTCCAGAAAGTCTTTCGATAATGCCAATATTAAAAATTTTGTTCAGTTTATAATCGATATTTATCGCGATGATTGTAATATTATGATAGACACGAAGACAATTAGGCATATATTTTATCTGTTTTGAAATAGACCAGGCAGTACTATATAAATCAGTTAGGAAAATCTTAATATCCTCTTTTGAAAAAATGATGACGCTTCATGATTATAAAGATTATGCATATCTTTTCTAAAAGTTTCATAAAAAGTCAAATAATATTTTCTCAAGTACGAATATTGAAATTTTCTAAGATATGCTTATAAAAAAAAACTATTCCTAGGTCGATTTCAGTTTTCTGTACTTATGATACGACGAGCTAAATCATATTGTTTCAACCGTATTATTTAAATATTAGATAATTCAATTTACAACTAGAAATAACTTTTTCAGTTTCTACCGTACTTTCGGATATTTGGAACCATTTTAAAGCGGTAAGCTTGGCCGGAAGTTGACCGGTTTGCTGGAATTTCACCGGTTCAGAAACGATTAACAACTGGCCGGACCGGACCGTTTTATCTTTTTCTTACCGGTTCCAACCCTGGATAGAATACATTGTTTACAAATATTAGCAATAGGGCATGGCCAAATGTCAAGGAATTTCATTTCTTTTCGTTGTGACACTTTTGTCTCATGAATAATCAATGTAAATTCTCTGAAATTTTTATCATAGATACATACTATTTAGATTCATCATTGGTAAAAATTTCACTGATTTTGTTTTAGCTAGACCGGAGCTGTTTCAAATATATCGATCATCATGGAATTTCGCCGTTTTTGACGTTTTCATGGAAAACATTTAAGAACTTAACATTGTAATATTATGATAAAAATCCATCTTTGTCAAGTGGGAAATAGCTGATTGTTTTTTGATTTTTAATCGATTTTAAATCAAAAAAGTCGAAAAAATCAAGAAATCAGAAAAATCAAAAAAATTGGAAAATTTTTAATCGCTCTTGGTTAAAAACATCAATTAAAGATAAAACAGCTAAAATCAGATTTTCTTGATTTACTGTGATTGTTTTGATTTTTCTAATTTTTTTTATTTTTTTGTTTTTTTTATTTTTATTTATTTTTTCGATTTCAGCTGTTTCCCCCTTGTGTCAAATCGATGTTCGACTTATGCGTTGTTCATTTGATGATTACCATTGAGTAATAGAAAAGTCTACAATGATTTGATTATCTAGGCTTTCGTCCTCGACATATAGAGATTTTAGCTGATTTTTTAACAAAAAACTATGGTCCGTCATTAAGTCAGGTGAAAAATCAACTTTCAAGTTCGGACTTCAAACTTTACAAGAATAAAAGTGTCAATAATATTAGTTAATGAGAAAAGTTTTCTCGAGATGTAAACCTATGAACAAAATTTGATTTGACACTTGAAAATTGCGAATATTCAATATCTCAAGATAGGAAATACTAGAAAAAAAAGTGACCACTTGTCCAATGAAGTAATTTCATTAAGAACTCTATTCGTACAATGTTTGAAGTCGAAAGTTGATGTTGAACATGATTCGATTGAGACCAAAGCTATTTGTTAAAAGAAAAACAAAAAACTATTATAGAAATGGTTCAGTATGAAAAATACTAAACCCGTTGAATTTCTTTGGACGAAAAAAGATTTGACATGAAAAGTGCGAAACATTCAACGTTCAGTAATAAACTTTTTTTTGGAGTGTAGGGGTATATGGTCTGATATTTCAAAGTAAAGATGTACATCGATATACAAAGCATTTTCACTAAAAAAAATTTCTAATAGTTCTTGTTTTTTTTTCTATTAGCGTATTAGTATTTTTCTTGAATGAAACTCAACATTTCTTATATATATACGCATATATCGCTTATTTCTACAAAATCCATCTATGGAATACATCAGTTTGAAGATTATAAATCAACGAGTAAGATTCATCCAAAGGAATTTTTTAATTTACAAGTAGAAAAAGCAATGATTTTTGTAAAAATATATATCCAATGCGAATACTGTCTATGTCTGCTCTTTCAATTCAATTTTATTATAACCATATAAGTTCGTCCATGAGATATAGAAGATATAAAAAACAAAGAGAAATAGGTAAATATTTTTATGCTGCATAAATTTGTTTTTGAAGGAACAGAATATAGTAAGAGATATAAAGAAACAAAAAAATATGGGACAATAAAAGTGAAAGATAGCTTTAATCAGTATTACTCACAAAGTTGTGTTTAGAGAGAATGAAAAACTCTGCATTTCAAAATGCATTATTCGTTGAATGAATAGATTATAAAACATTCGAGCTTTTATTGAGAACAAAGCAACCAACAGTCCTCGACAATCAATACAAGAAGTTAGTAATGAAAAATTAGAAGTTGGGCTAAAATTTGAGTAAAGTATTCTAATGACGATAAACAAAAATGCACTACATTTTTTTTTCTTCAAAAATAGTCTCTTTCAAGTAATTGAAAATATAATAAACGTAATTCTCTAACTATAGATCACTAGAAATTCTATTAAGAATTTAAATAGGAAACACTCTATGACTAATTGTTGCATGAACAAAATTTAACAGAGTGTTGACTTCGGTATTATGTTATCTATAACTTTTCCAACTTGCTTGAGAGATTTTTTTAATCATGATAATCTTATTTTATTCATTTGCGCTTGTCGTGTTTGTTATACACAACTGTTTTTTTCTTTTCTGATAATCAAGTACAGTCTGCTATACTATAGCTATAAAATTTATCTGGAGTGCAGTTTTATTTGAGCAATTTATTTTCGCATGTGATATCATGAAATATTTGTCTATATGTTGACAGATTTTCATTTCGTAAAAAAAATGTTGTTACTCAAAATAAGAACTTCAGTATTCATTTAACATGTTTGTGAAATAACTCATTTTTTCTCAACGAAAAACACGTTGAAGCACATGACAAACAAACGCCTCAAACGATATTATAAAGTTTTGATTGGAGAGAAAAAAAACTCATTTTCTCCTGAACACGTTCGAATGGTATTTTTAGATGGCGTTTCAAGTTGAAAAACTGCATTGAAATAAAAAATGATACGTTTAAATGCAAAAATAACGTTTTTTTTTATCAAAAAACGTTGTCGTTGAAACGCTGTTTTGTACAATTTTTTTTCGCATAGGTAACATATGCAAACAAAACGGTGGACTATCTAGATTTAGATATTTAGAAAGACATATTTTTTTTTCAATTTCATTTAAAAATAATTCTAATTCAACAATGTAGAAAAAAACATAACTTATTAAATAAATATCCGCTTCCAAGACAAATATTGTCGATAGATTTGCGGCATCTGTTGATGATTGGTTAAAAATACAATGATGTCGAAGCATAGCATTTCCTAGGCATTGTAAGTTGTGAATGGCTGACGTATTTTTTTATTCCCATGACCCACTCACTTATGTGAAGTGGAATTTTTTTTTTATTAACTTGAAAACTTTATAGTCAATCGACTGTTCATTTTTGTTTAGTATCGTTTTCAACAGCGATTGGCAAAAATAAGACAAAAAATGGTAATAGCCACAGCCATGCCAACGAACAGCAGGACTCGAGAACAAATGACAGAGACCATTGAAAACGATACTATTCAAAATATATCATCTGAAATTAAAGAGAATGGTAAGAAAATGAAACATCATTTTTCAAGTGTTCACCTTCTTTTTTTTTATAACTTCAACAAATATTAATCCACTCTCAGATTCAGATAAGGCGACTGATAATCATATTCGTGATAATAACAATAATCAAAATGGCATTAGTACTATATCTATTGATGCTGTTCGAGATTCAACATCAACTACCAGTAGTACTAGACAACAAACACCAAGTTCAACAACAAAAGATGAATATGTGAGTTATATTTGAATAAGATAGAAGAAATCAATATTGATTTAATTGATTTAAAGAAATATACAGGTGATATCTATGAAGATAAAAAACATGGCAAAGGTATTTTAACTTGGTCTGATGGTCAAATATATACAGGCGCATTTTTTGCTGATAGACGACATGGATTTGGAATTTCTCATAATCCAAATATTTCTGAATTCAAGGTCTTATTTAATTATTAAGAGACAAGCAATTTATAAATAATTTATTTTCTAGGGTTTATATTGTCATGATGAACGATTCGGTCCAGGTATATTAATTTATGAATCTCTACAATGTGCTGATGTTGGTTTATGGTTAAATGAAGATCTGATTCGTTTACTTTATTCTCATCCAAAACTTACAATAGATATACATATAACAGATAAAAAATCTCTAAATTCATCTTCACTTATTATTCCATCATGGTATTCACCACATGAATTACTTTCAACTATATATAATCATGATTATTTATTAAAAAAGAAATCTCCAACACTCTTTTGTAATAATATTCAAGATGAAAATTCATTATTAACTCGATATATTATTGAACATGTTGATCGTGTACAAGAAACAATGCAAGATAAACGTGAACAATTAAATGCTTATTTATCGAGTATTTATGAAAAAAATGATGAACAAATATTAAAAAATAAAATTTTAAAAGAACGAACTCCAGATATATTACCACCTAATGAAACACATGAACAACAACAATTATATTATTATGTTAATAAATTTTGGCCATTTAAACAGCGAGCATCATTTCCTATTGAGGATATTTTTTCTAGTAAACAATATTAATAAGTAAAATTTAATATCTTTTTTTTTTGTTTTTATTTTTTTATAGATACTCGTTCTTCGTTTCCTAATCCAGGTCCATTAGAAAATGCTTCATTAAATCTATTTGAATTATCATTTAATGGTCAAGAAAAAGATGTACGTAATCTTCTAATGCAGCGACTTGCATATGTTGATGTATGTGATTCACATGGTTTAACTGCATTACATTTTGCTACTTATAACGTACACATAAACGTTGTTAATGTTCTTCTTGATTTTGGTGCTAATGTTAATCAATTATCAGATGATGGTTTAACTCCACTTGCTCTTGCTTTTCTTCTTTATTATGGTAATGATCCTCAACAAACAATTAATACAGCTTTAGAACATAGAGATCCTGTTATATTAAATCCTCGAACATCAAATTCAACAGAAACAAATACAATGACATCATCGAAACAAAATATAACAAATTCTTCGAATAATTTTAAAAATGATTCAACTATTACCGATGAAGCAAAATTTTTATCATCATTAGAATCAATGAAAATAAATGATGCAGAAAAAAAGAGTAACAAAAAAAAAGATATATATCATATTTTTTGAATTATAATTTATATTGAATTTGAATAGATTCATATGGATATGAACTAACAGATAATCTTCGTGAACGTATTCGTGATGAAAAATTTCGTGAATCTATTTATTCACTTATTGTGTATGTCTTTATTAATATTCAATTTATCTATGTTAATGTTTTTTTTTGCTTTTATAAGACTTCTTCTTCGTCGTGGTGCTGATCCATCACTTAGTGATTGGCCTTTACCTGTACTTGCATTAGCTGTTCGAGCTGGTGATAAACATATGGTTGAATTCTTATTAAAGACAAAAGCTCAAGTTAATTGTCAATTAGATCCTATTCGTCATGCAAGTTTAACTCCATTACATATTGCTTGTGGTTCTTCATCGAAATATGCAATTGATATTATTCGACTATTATTAGAATATGGTGCTGATGTTAATGCTGAATCATTATCGGGTAATAAAGAATATTTTTCACTTATTGATCCACTTATTATCAATTCGAATAAAAAAGTAAAATAATTTTGTTTTTATTTTATCAAATAAAAAAAAAATCTCTTTAAATTTTAGATTGATATTCAACAACAACATGGTCGTACACCTTTACATATAGCATGTACACGAGAAGCAACATCAGATACATTAGATATTGTTCGACTTCTTCTTGAATATCAAGCAAATCCAAATTCTGTTTGTAATGGTCAAACACCACTTACACTTGCTATTGCTTTGGGCAATCAACCTTTAGTTGATTTACTTCTCAATCATGAAACTACTGATCCATCAACAACACTTGGTTTAGGAAATGGAAATGCATTATGTACTATATTATCAACATTTTATGAACCTGGTTGGACTTATACAAAACGATTACAATTAGTAAATTAAAAAAAAAAACTTAAATTAAATTAAATCAAAAATTTAATTATTCATTATAGATTGAACGTCTTATAGAAAAAAATCCTAAAGTTTTTTATCCAATTCGATTTGGTCCAAAAAATACTTTAGGTTCATCAGTTGATTTTGCTCATTTTATGTATTCAGCTGTAAGTTTTTTTTATTTATTAATTCTAAGATGATAAATTTTTTTAAATAATAGGATACTCGAATATCTCAAACTCCATATCATCAATTAACAACTCAAGAACGTGTTATACATAGTGAAAGAAAAGAATTACTTGCTTATATAGCTAAACGATTTCGAGAAGAAACTCCAAAACATGATGAATTTTTACGTTTACCAACACCAACATTAGGTATATTTGAAATTTTGAAGAAAGAAAAAACAAAAGATTTTATATTTCTTCAAATGTTTTTTTCTTTGATGTCTAGATGGTCATAATCAAACATCAAGTCCTGCTAATTTATTTGCACAAAGTGCCATATCACGAGCTCATTCATTGCTGACAGAAAAAACTTCTGATGATAATTCAAAGTAAAATTTAATTGAATTGAATTCCTATTATAAAAATAAAAAATTTAAAGTATTAGAATAACTGGTCAATTTCGTTATTGTGCTACATGTGGCCGAAGCACTGGTGTACGACTTACTCTTTGTAAACGTTGTCAAAAAACATCATTTTGTTCAAAAGCATGTAAAATAAATGGATGGAATAATTTTCATCGATATGAATGTCTTTCATCACCAACTCCAACTAGTCCATTAGAAAGAACAAGTATAAGATTATTATTAGAAGGAAAAAATATAATAAAATATATGTTCGGTCTTTTTTTCTTTTTATAGTTATAACAACGAAGAGTATGTCAACAAAAACTAAGGTATAGGTTTTTTTTTAAATTTTTTTATTTATTAGTAAAATTCAAAATAAAAACAATTATAGTTGCCTAGTATTCGTTCGGGTACCAATCAAACGGATCGTTCACATTTTCAAAATGTTGAAACGCGTTTTGAGGTTAACACTTGGTTTGATTTTCACATGATTTGTTTTTAAAATAATCATATGCACTTTGATTTGATGATTGATTTTATTTAAAAATTCAATTATTTATTTTCTTTTTTTCTTTTTTTCTTTTGTGTCAATTAGGATTTTACAAGTTTGGATCGTGCATTATTCAAAGACAGTGTTTTAGCAATTAAAACTCCACCAAAAACAAATAATAATAATAGTCGATTACCACCACTTTCAACAGCAAAATTATTACGACAAAAACGATTGAAAAAACTTGGAAAATTAACTGGAAATGTATCATCAATGTTACCAATTTCATTGGATGGTATTCAATTATCATGGAATTCTACATATAATGCACCGGAAAATTACAGTTTTAATTAAATCGTTTTATATTTTATCTCATCAATATTCGATATCTCATTGATTATATAATACCGGTGCTGAAGAGACTAATATACTTTAATAAGAAGTGAAATATCATATTTCATAATTATTAAAATAAAAATCTTTTTTTTTTGCATATACTTAGAATATTTATCAGTAGAAGATTTAGATAACTAGTAATTATTGTATGTATTAGAAACAAGCAAACTAAAAATCGATCTCTAAATCAACACACCTGATCTTATTCACGTCTCATTGAACATTCAATTAAAAAGTTATGGACGACTACAATAAATTGCAGTATAACAGAAAAAGTAACGGTGCGTCAGGTTGAATGGCCACGCTTTGCATTTCAATTTTTATTCACTTAATATATTGTATTTAAAAAAAAAGCAAAATATACCACAAGACGCAGCATGAAAAGCTCTACAATTTAGATACGATCGATTATTTTGTTTTCAAAATTTTGAGTGACCAAATTTTGACCGTGCGAAAATTGGTCTCGCAGAATTTTACTTTTTTTGAAAACAATTACAATAAGTTTTTTCTGTGTGAATTGTAGAACATTTCACGCTGCATCTTGTGGTATATTTTGTTTTTTTTTAATACAATACATTAAGTGAATAAATTTTCTCTATTTATTCAATATCAAATCGATTTTCTATTTTCCCTTTTCAAGTTCTCATCCGAATTGGATAAAAAAAGAATTTGAAATCACCTATCAATTCTCGAAAAATAAATCTAAGAATTCTGACTGAGATATTCATTCTGTTATAGGTATTTAAAGAAAGGAATATCTTTCACACAATGTCAACTGAGTCGGTTAAGTTCAAGGTTAAATAAAGCGAGTAGAATATTCTACTTTTGATAGGTTTCCTCTCATGACGATCGAATCTATTTAGAGAAAAGAACCCTGAAATAAATAATATTTTTCTTTTTTCATATATTTATAGTACATATCGCAAAATAAACGAATTAAATAAATAAACAACAACTGTGAGACATTCAAAATGTTAGATTTAATGAATAATCAGAACACATGCCAAAATAGTTTCAATTCAACGTTATTCTCATTATCTCAAATATGATGGTATTATCAATGTTACAGATTTTTTTTATTTAATACTAAATTATGATAGATTGATTTACACAGAATAAATACTATTACATAAGTTCATTACCTTCTGAAATAATATTCATAAAAATACCATGAAATTTGTCGATCTCTTTGAGACAATAGTTCTATTTAATCTTTAAATTTGTACAATAATTCTTCAAAGTTTTCTCTATATTGTTTCTATTTTTCTTTGGTTAAAAACAGGATTTGAATAATCTAAGGAAATTTTATATTTTAAGATCAGTCAGTGATGATCATATTTAATATAGTTGAATAATAACATAGAATAGAACAGTCTTATGTGCTTTGAATGATAAATTTCTATTTTTCTCTTTATTCATAAAACATCTTTAATATATCGATTAGAAATGAAAGCAATTATAAAAAATGTTCTTTTATTATTAATTTCTATCTCTTTTTTCTTATGTCATAGTATGTTACCTTTTAAATATCATCTTCAAAATGATTAAAAAGCCGCCTTTTATTTATATATGAGAGCAGTCGAGCTAGTTCAAATAACAGTAGATATCCTTTATAGGAATCAAATTTAAACAAATCTTTATGTCTTTGTGTAGAAAATATATTTATTATAATTTTTGAATCTTTTTTTCGCTCGTTGCTTGGATACTTTCATTTTGATAATGAATTGTTATCTATAAAAACAGTAGTTTAGTCGTGACTCGACGGTGGAAATCGGTGTCGATAGTTGATGTTTTCTATCATTTATTAGTTTATAATAAGAACTTGCAAGAAAAGTACTTTGTGATAAGATACGCTTTTCTATTATAGAAAGACAGACAGAAAGATTTTTGTGGGGCAGATCCTTTAGCAACCTAAGGAGTCGATATCTATGACGAACAAATTTTGCATCTCATAGACTATTTATTCGAAATCCCCGCCTCACATAATTTCCAGGAAACCAATTTCCCCAAAACTCGATTTGTATGTGGCATGGGTCACTCAGTAGAACCATGGGTACTCCAGTAGGATATCGAGCTCAATAGACTTCCGATTCCTAATATCCTCCCTCCGATCATCTAATGATATTCGTTTTCCAAAAAACTCGATTCCTATTGGTTTCGGGCTAATCAATAAGATTTTGAGACGACTAGATTCCTAATTCGAACTCACCGCCTCTGAAAACCTCTACCTGACTTTTTTCGCTGAAAACGTAAGTTTGATTAGCTGGTTTCCTGGCAGCTGAATTCCTATTGGTTTTCGGCCAGCGAATCAGACTCCGAGGCAATTGGACTCCAGATTCGAACTCACCACCCACGAAAACCTTTGGTTAGATGTCTTCTGTGCGATCGCGGACTGATGTTATGTAGTTCTTCTATCCTATACTAATGAAAGCTGCAATCGGATTGGTTGGGCACACAGGTAGGTCTTTTTTGGGCGGAGAACCCATGATTTCTGAAAAAGAAATAGTCCTTGATCTTCCCCTTGATAAAAGAAGAGTTCATGCAAAGTTTGGTTGCACTGGCTCTTACAGGGACCAAATGCATAAAGAACAGACAGACAGAGAAACATTCTTTATATATTAGATGAAATGTGTTAAATTCCTTATTGTATGTTTATTGTATTTGTTTTTATTCAAATGATTTATATAAAAGAATACTATTTACAGAGACGGAAAATATGCAACAAAATTTTGTGAACGAACAAACGGTTCATATGTAACTAGATATTTAATTTTAGAACAATTGAGACGTGTTGCATCATTGGTAAAATTATTTGTTACAGCTACTAATGTTTTATACTCAATTATGAGATTTGTTAAACAAGGTAAACGAGTGTTTTTATCCGAAAGAAACTGTATAACGTAGTCCTTGTGTACAGCGTAAAGATGGAGTTTAAACAGATAATTAAATGTAATCAATGTAGATGAATGATGGTGCTCATTTATTTGCCGATGATTATTACATATATGTAATTGTTGAAGAAAAGGAAAGTCTTGAGAGATGATTTTGAATAATTCATGTTCAAATGGACGTATATCAAACATTGTTAACAATCGAACTTTATCGAATTTTCCACCTTGAAAACAACTATTCATAAACAAGAATTCGTTGAATTGATATGGAAGAGAATAAACATGACAATTGCCTCTATTATTGATAAGTTTATCATCGGCACATGTATCAATTGATTTGAATCCTCTTTTAATGAAACTATTTCGAATATCATCATTCGATGGAAGATCAATTTTAATATTATTGTTGATAATAAAATCGTTCATAATGCGAGTGTGTATATTGAAGATAAATTTATTTAGTTGTGACATATAATTAAGAACTTTATCATATAATTGATTACCATCAATATAAGTCGATTTACTTCTTACTACTGAAAGAAATAATGTTAATTCTTCAAGATTTAACATTCGACGAAGTAATGGAACAACTTCTGTATCATAACAACTTGTATAAAAATCTGTTGCTAATGAGAAATGTTTTAATTTGAGAAGCTTTTTCTAAAGAAAATGAAACAATCATTAGGTTTTAAAGATAAATGTATTTATATTTAATGATCGTACTTATACTTACTGTATTATCTATTTCCGATAATGAACGAGTAATTTTCTTGATACGAATAATCAATGTAGATAAAGATTCGAGACATCCATTAAAAAGATAAAGACAATCATCAAAACTATTGACATTTATTGTCAATTTAGTGAGGGTTGAAGAAAAAGAATTTCTATATAAAATATTCAAAAATGAAATTGTTAGATATTCTTCTGAGGACTTTTGAAGAAAAGTCAAATCACTTAAACGTTAACTGATTAATAATATGATTACAAATATATCTGCTTCATTTCTAATCGGTATCGCAACATTCTCAATATTAATATCGACAATAATATGTGTAATTTGGTTAGTAAGAAGATGTAACATTGTGTTATCTTAAATATAAATAATTGATGAAATTAATTAAAATTCATAAATATACCTGATAAATGCCGTAAAAGTATTTTCGGTTGATAATTGACTAATGATAATGAATGGAGTCGAGGATAATCAATAGCATTAATAATACGTTCCATAGAATGTGATTCAAGAATGAGTTTGATTATTTTCTCATTAATTCGAGGTAAGATTTTCGAACAAATTCGTGAAAGAATATCAATCTCTACTGAAGAACTATGAATATCATCTCGTTTAATCACAAAATTGAGATGATCAATAACGCGAGAATCAAGTGCTAATCGATCAAATTGCTGATTTACATCTACCAATGAATAGAGCATATCAATCGTATTCAGTTTATTGAAAATGGTAAGTAACATTTCATCTGGTAGATCCAGTATATTAATATCATTGTGATTTAAAATGTTCATGTCTAACGATTATATTTCATTTCAGTCATTCTCATTTTCTTTCAACCTATATATATATAATATGTTATTTTTCTCGCTGCTGTCCGCGAGAATAATATTCACATATTCATGTTATATGATAATGAATGCCTGATGCTATTTTTCTTTCTGCCGCAAATTTTTTTCATTGATAATGGTGAAAAATTTGCACGATCACTTTGTGATAATCTGACTGCATTTATCATATATTAAATGCATTTTTAACAATTAGTGCCATATTTAGATAAAGTCACAAAATCAAACACTCAAAATATTTGCAAAAAGATCTCAAACTTCTTTTTCATCAAACAATGGTATTGATACACTTTGTTTAAATATTTTAAACATTATAATTTAAAATCAGCATGTATAAATTGTATTCATCTAAACATTCGATGTATGCGCTATTGTTTCTTTTGTTTGTGTATCTTTCATAGATGTTTTTTAAGTTGATAGTCAAAGTATTTGAAACGAAGACCTTATATTTTATTATCTACACCATCGGTTTTATCAAATTTTACATAACAATTTGATGAAAAGACAATCGTTACTAACTTACGCTTGACAAAGAATTCATAACCATTTTCAACAATCTATAATTATTTAATATGACAATAATTCATTTTTTTTTCTATGTGAATCAAACCTGATGTTCTCAATAAATTAGATCAAGATCATGTAGTAGTCAAAACTGTGAAACAACTTCCGCATCAAACGTAAACGATACACCACAATTATTTTCATCCCTTATGATGTATCTTTATCTGGATCTAACCAAAGGAGATCATAAAATAATTCTGCATGAGGTAGATCAGTTCATCTTGCAATGTGTTTTATTTGTTCAAGTGAATGTAAATCTAGATAAAGACCATTATGAGAAGGAAAAATATTTTTTGTGATTGATTTTCGTAATTGATAAACAATTAAAACGATCAGCAAATGTTTTCCATAATTCAACGTCGTAATGTCGTTTAACTACATCATAAAAGTTATGTATACGAGTAATTTCTATTTAAAATGTGTGAAAGTGAAATAAAATGAAGTGAATCCTTAATTTATTGACATAAACCTTCTCAACAAGATAAAATAAATGAAAAATGTTGTATTAAAATAAAAGATATAATCGAAATATCTATATAAAGTTCAATCTAAAATTGTTCAGCTTGTGATTGTTACATATCTTCTGTAACTTATTGTTGATCATTCGGTTTCTATACCACCTCAATCTGTTTCTACGTAAAGCCCTCAACACATTAGAAGAACCCTCTTGAATAAATGACGCGAAAGACATATTAGAGGACCCTTAAAAAAATCGATGTTTTGAAATAGTTTCTGGAGTTTATTGTCTTGTTTAGTATTTAAGTCCAGAATGATATCGAAATTCAGTACGAACAATATTTTGCTTTCTCTCTCATAACGAAGTGTCAGACTCGAATGAGTAAAATCCTGAGAAGCAGCTAATAGGAAACAACTGTCTATTAATGATTGCGTTTGTTTGTAAAAACATATCATGGAATCATTTTAGTACTCCTTTGCGGCTTACTTTGAAAACATTCTTCAGGCTCTATACACGGAAAACATGCTTCCATAGTCATAGGATATAATAAACGCAGTGTCCGTTCGTGCATGTAACACATGAAGAGATCTTTGTACAATAGTAACAGATTAGGTAAAATGCCGCTTTGTATTAATAAAAAGGTCTCTTTATCTTTGATTTTATTCTAGAAAATCAGACGTTTTCACCACAAAACAGTCTTTCATAATTGAAGAAAACATAACTTCATGTACAGTCTACGCAAAAAATTCTGGGAAACTCAAGAATGACTCTGCAAAATTTTATATTCCATTTGAAACAAACTTTATACATATTTTAAGTATAGTCACTAGTTAAAGTATTTATTTTTATAACAATTTCATTATAATGACTTATTAATATGTATGATAAACAAATTCTTGAAAAAGAATAAAAATTATTTAATTAACTCCAAAAAAAAAGAAAAAATTTTTTTTATGAAATTTTCTTGAAAATATGAATTATTCTTGTATTTCAGTTGAAGCTTCGTGTATACCACTTTGATTCCATGATTGTTCATTACCATCAAAAAATATACAATATATAACACAACCAAAAAGACCTATTCCAGCTGACAAATTAAAAATTAATTGCCAAGCATGTAATGTTTGCTATTTAAATAGAACCAAAAAAACAACAACATATTAGGATATAATTTAAAATGTCTTACATTATTATTTGTAATAGCACCGACAACATAAGGAGCCACAATACCCGGCACTGAAGCTAATGTATTCGTGATACCAACGAGAGTACCTATTATAAATGCAAGAGAAAAGAATGAAATAGGCTAATTGAGTCATATAAGCGAACCAGCATAATTGCTTGCAATATCAAGATGTGATATTTGACAACCACTTGAATTAAAACCAATAAAAGCAATAGCTAATGTTATACAAACCATAGCTGCTACTTTACTACAGCCAACATAACCAACAAGTACTAAAAATAAAGACGAACCAACACAACCTATTCTCAATAATAAAACAACATAGAAAATTTCATTCAAAATGAAAAACAAAGAAAACAAAAAGACATTACCAATAATTGTTTGTATTTTTCGGACAGCTGTTGTTGACAGAATTTGTCGATGTCGAACATGATCAGCTACTTGACCACTTATAATAATAACAATCAATAGAAATATATAAGGGATAGAAAACATCAAACCATTCTATGAATAAATATTATTTGAGATTTATCTTTTCAAAGAAAAAAAAACGAAAAATACCTTTTGTAAATCAAATCTTAATATTGTAGCAAAATAAGTAGGTAATGATGTTAATAAAACATAATAAACAAATTGAATACAAGTTGATACAATAGCAATTGACCAAAATGGAAGTGAACATGCAATTGATAACCATGGTGTTTGTAACTAAAAAAAAATACCGATGAAAATATTAAAAAAAAAATTCAACAAAACAAAAATAAACCTTCTTTGGTTTTGGAAGAGAAGTTGACAAATGTAGTCGTTCTTTTTCTGAACATCGTGGATGATGAAAAGGATTATTATAAGAAAAAAAACACCAGAAAACAAACCATATACAAGTAATAATTCCTATAAATTCAGTTTATGATAGAATGAATACATTGTTATTATTCTTACCAAAAACATAAAATGCTGATGGCCAACCATCCAAAAAATTCGATGCACATAGAACACCTGCTAATGAAGTTGTGATTACAACACCTACTTCTTTTCCTATAAAAAAAAATGAGGAAAAAATGCAAAAAATTTATGTAATATTTTATTCAAATGTATCGTTACCAGCATGTGAAATCGGCGGGATAATACTTCTTTCTAAAGGTGGTACCCATTGACCCCATAATGCACCTACACTTGGAAATGCTGGACCCTACATATGTATACATTAAATATTTATTTATTTCATTATGTCAATAATAGATTTTTCTACCTCAAAAATACCAATAAGAATACGAATAGCAATGAGAAAACCAACATGAGTTCGAGCTGCAATTGGTGTAAGTAGAGTCAAAATACCGGCTATTAAAAGACCACAACCAAAAATCCATTTAGCACCATATCGTTCAGCTAGAATACCTATTTATATATTAAAAGAAAAAAAAATGATTTTATTCATATTCTATTCTATGTTCACCGCCGATAAATTGTGAAATAGTATAACCATAGAAAAAAGCACCAAGTATAAAACCTTGTGTACGAGGATTCCAATCAAATTGATCATGCTACAAATTAAATGTAAAATTTTCAAATGTCATAATAATAATAAAAGAAAAAAATAAATATATATATATTTTTATCAACCTTAGTTGGAGTACTACTTGAATCATTTATATTCGATGGACATGCTTCTACAGATTCATTTTTAAGATTTCGTGGTATAGTCATAGCAACAATAGCTACTGATAAATTAACACGTAACATATACAAACAAATAAAACCTAAGAAGACCCATAAAGCCACAACTAGAAATTAGATAATATATTTTCTAATATTTCATTAATAAATAAATCTAAACAAACCATATCTGGCATATATTCGTTTATACCATGATTGATGTGTGACAATATTATTACTATCTGTATAGCCTAATAATGGTTGTTGTTCTGACATTGCATCTACTATTTTTTGATTGTCATCATATAACAAAGCCGATGTACTTCTACGGGTATTTTGCTCAGTACGCATTACATAAATATAATGTTGTCACTAATAGTCAATATATAAGCAAACAAAAATAAAAGATACCATTATTGAATTTAAAATAACAAAAGAAAATAAGAAATGCATGCCTTATGTCACCTGAGAATATGACATCATAACAAATGACAGAGTAGAAAACATGTCGAGATGTTATTTTTTTGTTTCTTCATAAGCCTTTCGAAATGAGCTACTTTCAGAACAAAAAAAAAAGAATATGACGCATTTATTCAATTATCTTAAGAATAAATACGACAAATGGCAAATATAATTATATTAAAAACAAATAATGTGAGACAAAACAGAAAATTTATCATTTAATATTAGTAGAAATTAATATTCCCATGTTTGTTTGTTTTTATATTAAATAATGATCAAACGACAAAATAATTCATTTTATTGTTAGTTTTATATACAATAGAAATGTTAAAATTTTACAATATAGATACTCATATTATCAGTACTATCTCGACGAAGACATTCATCTATTAATTGTGCTGCAATATTTTCTAATTTTGTCGTTGCTATATGATTAACAACAAATGAAGCTACCTCTTCATTTGTCATAACATCCCAAATTCCATCACATGCAAGAATAAGATATGCTGCTGATGAATCTCTTGGATATTGAATAATATCTGCCATAGGTGGAACAATATGTTTATCCATTCCAAAATCTCCTAATACACGTGTCATAGCTAATTGATTTTCTACACGTAAAACATCACCAGCAAATGGTTTAGAAATTCTTCCTCCAGCTTCATGAATACGTTCTTGTTCAGCAGGATCATCTGGTTTATGATCTAAATAAATATTCAATAAATAAACAAAGAGAAAAAAAAACCGATGACGATAAAAAGAATTACCTTCAGTATGTGCTAAAATACGTCCATCATTTGAAAAAATTATAGCACGAGAATCACCAACATTAATTAAATAAATTTGTTCTGGACCAATAAGACATGTTATCTAAATATTTTAAATAAAAAAATTTTATTCTTATTTTTTTGAACTAAAACTTACGCAAACACAACCACTATCATCTTTAACAACTTGTTTTAATTGTTTATCTAATTCAAAATAAGCCTGTTTAATAGAAGCACAGAATGTTGGAACATCTAATTGAGATGAACGAACAGGTTCGCCAATATTTATTTTATTATCTTTTTGTTGAATAAGCATTTTATTAAGTATATCTAATAAGTAAATGTCAAGATGATCAGCAGCATATTTTGCTGTATCAATACCTTAAATAATTTATAAATAAATTATATTTTCTTTGGAATAATTGTATTTTTTTGCTTACCATTATGACCATCAAAAATTGAAAAATACGACCATAATTTCCATGAAGAATCATCAAATGGAACTAAATGTTTATGTCTATCTTCCATTGTTGAACGCCAACCTTGCATAGCAGCAAAACAAAAATTTTTATCAACAGTCAATTCTTTTTCTGTATGTGGTTTATCAGAAAAAAGTTTTGCAAATTCATCTGTTTCTTCTTTATGATTATCATGACGACGACGAAGACCAAATAAATGTCGTTTTTTATTATGTTCACGATTGCGACCAAAAAGTGCTTCAAGACCAGCGTGAAACATTCGATTCTATAATTTTAAATATTTTCAATTCGTGTCTCTATTTTTGATTACAGTATGTTAGTAATGCTTCACTGTACGTCACACTACTAGAAGGTTTCTTATTAAATGTATATTTGTTGTTCGGCGCGCTGCCATGTCACGTTTTTTTTCTTTCTTCTCTTCTTTTTCTCCCTTTTCTCCTTCTTATTCTCTTCTAATGGACTCTTTTGTTTTTCTTTTTCTTTTTCTTCGTGCTCTTAAATATTATAGAACAAGCAAAAGGGCATTGAGCTCACACATTGAATCATAGTGAAGAATGTGTCAGTTTTCTCTATTGTTTTTTTTTAGTTAGATTTTGTTTCGTACACTCCATTATTTTGATCATTTTGTATTATTCTTTTCTTATATATATGTAAAAAGAAATATTTCTTATTGTAATAAATTATTAAGTCGGTCTATAACTTTCTTTCTCCTTTTGTTTGCTAAATACAAAAGATAATATGTTTTTCTGTTTACTATAAAAGCATCGATCCATAGTATTGCCTATAATAAATAAGAGTATTTTTCATCAATTGATTTCTATCAATATCTATTTAAACAATACTTTTTTTTTAAGACTAAGTTTGAGATAAAAATAAAATAATTGATATGCTAATAACATTTGCATCTGATTTTGATAATTCGAATTCAACGAAATAAAAGTAATAAGAATTTTTCCTTATTTTCTGTGACGTAATTAATTGTAGATAGAAGCAATAATAACTATCAATTGAAAGAAAACATTTCTGACAGCTTTTTCTTTTTTAATGATTAAAAAACTTTATATTCATAAAGAAAAAAAATTTTTTTCATCGGTTATTATTTTTTTATATAAGAAAGAGAATCATTATTCAATATATATGCCTTGTTATTACCGGTTTTCAAACAGACTATTTTTCAATGAATATTTATTCAAGTAGAAAACTACATTATCGCAGAAAAAGGATATTCAATGCAGAAGAAAAAACGATTAGAACTGTTTGTAGAGTCACTAGCCATATGATTTTATTCTCATCATGCAAGTTTAATCCTATGATAAGATTATTCTATAAAAAAAAATATAGATAGAGCGAATGATTGGCATATGCATAATGTCAAGGATTGATTGTCATATACATCGAATCAATCATGATGATTAATCCGATAATAAATATTATTTTTACCATTAGGTCCTCTTTCACTCAATGATCTAGTTTAATAAAAAAAAACCTTGTCTTATTTAAGAAAATATATCAGTTATTTTAAATAATCTATTATATAGAATTAGAAATTTGTAATAGTTCTTGTCCTTTTCTATTTAAAGAGAAAATGCAATACATAACGCTCAGTGACATTTATAGAAATGTGACTAGAATCATCTATGATAAAATCCCTATAAATGTTTTAACGACCCATCTATCTAACTTGTTATGTCACACTATATTTGATCATAAAGAATAACTTCTAAAATAGAAAATAAATGTGTTAACAAGACATTTATTCAATATAAAAATAGTTTTAAATAAAAAATGTTTATGTTTATTCTTCATGAGCTATTTTAAGAATTAATTTTCCTTGTGCTTTTTCACTTTTGGATTTTTCATAGAGTAAATATAAAGCTTCAACATCATCTTTTTGCCAATCATATATTGTATCAATTAATGGTTTAACTTTTCCTGTTTCAATATATTTTGTTCTTATATCATCAAGTTCTTGAAAATTTTGATTTACAAAATGAAATATATAATTATGATGAGATGAACCAAAAATCGACCAAAATTTTCGATTTATTAAACTAGAACCAACTGAAACTAATGATTTTAATGAAATAATCGATTTTCTATCATCACCAACAATAGTAATAAATTGACCACCACATTTTAATACTTGTTGTGCTGATATCCATTGTTGTTCACCACCAATACAATCATATACAACATCATAATTTTGACCTAAATACAAATAAACAGAATAAAAACAAACTAATAATAATCATACAAAAAGAAAAAAGTAAAATAAATCTACCCTTAAGTTCATGTTCAAAATCTTTTTCATTATAATCAATTATATGTAATTGATTTCGATTGTTATTTGTTTCAATATTTGTTTGTGTTATATCATAACCTAGAATTAATAAGAAAAACAAGAACACTCATATGGAAAATATCAAAGAAAACAAACCAAGTTTTTCCATTAGACTAAAATTTCTTTGTGAACATGTTGCTGTTACATGAGCTCCAACTGCTTTTGCTAATTGAATTGCATATAAACCAGTTGCTGTACTTCCACCACAAATTAATATTTTACTTTCCATTCCAATAGGTGGTGAAGCTTTTTTAAATAAAACTTGATAACTTGTTTGACATGCTAAAGGTATAGCAGCTGCTTCTTCCATTGTTATATTATTTGGTTTCAATGAAAATAATGATTCATCTCCACGAACATATTCAGCAAAACTACCATCATTCATTCCAAGATTTCCATAAACTTTATCACCAATTTGAAAACGTTTTACTCCTAAACCAATATTCACGATAACACCTGCAACATCTTTACCTGGTACATGAGGAAATGATAATCGTACAAGAGATGAAAAATTTCCATTTAATACTTTCCAATCAATTTGATTAATTGATCCAGCATGTACTCGAATAAGAGTTTGTTTTGATGATAATTCATATGGTACAGGTACATCATTACGAAGTGTTAATACATTACGTACTTCTCCATAACCATTTTGTTGAGCAGCTTTCATTACCGAAGGAATACTATAATTAGTTGAAATTGATTCAGTCATAGTTTTAAGAATATCTAGAACATTACTGCGTCATATTTATATGATGTTTACATAACCGATCGCGTATGGTAGATAAACATTTAATAGAAGAAAGAAGAAAATTTTGCGCACGCATCTTTGTGTTTACGATAATCTTTTATCATAGTATCAATGTGATCAAGCAGCGAACATATGTATAAATCATCCAATAATAACTGTATAAGAATTTTCTTTTATGTGAATCTATCATTTTCTAACATCCATTAAATATTAATCTTAATAGAATTTCATCGTTTGTGATTCAAATATTATTTTTAATGAACAATGGAATGAATGACGCAGATTAAACGAGATCAAATCATTTTCTTCAGAATGTCATTCTATAATAAATCGATAGAAGCTATTTTGCTCTACAAAACTGTTTTGTTTGTTTTTCAAATTTGCGGTTGTCAAAAAAGAATACAGAGAAAAATTATGCAAATCTTTTCTAACAACGGTTTGTTGAGATGTCAAACATGCCAACAAATTCTCCAGAGAATTCTGCATTTTTTGACAAATGTTTCAGAATTTTAGAAAAAAAGATTTACAAGAATAATCATGAAGTAAAAACTGAAAAAATCGTCCTCTATCAGTGTGAAGTAATGTATCCAACAGTCAGAGAATGACTAAGCCTTGTTTTGGAAAGCATGAATAGAAAAATATCAGTAGGTTTTAATTCCAAGTTTATTTCTCATGAACGATAGCATCAGGAAAAGTCGTGGAAGTCGAGAACACAGAATCCATTAATGTTAATTGCGTTACCTTTTGAATTAGTCCTGGCGAGCAAAGATTTACACAAATTGATAGATGTCTGCAGGAAATCGAAAACTACAATTAGACATTTGAGTAGGTGGTCATATTTTAAATTTTGCTTCACCAAAGAAAATTTATTAGTAAAAATAAACAAAACAGTTGTATAGAGCGAAAAATGCTCTATCAAGTGTATCAGAATGGTTCAAAAAAAGAAAATGATTTGTATCCTATTTAATTTGTACCATTCGTCATTTATTATATTCGAACATTGAGAAGAAAACGTCAATATGATGAATTATTTGCCAGCAATGTCGAAGTAAATGTTTATTGAAGATATATATATATTCTAAAGGTTATTTCCGTTTAACATTTTACGTCGTAATTCTAAAAATAAAACTACACTTTAGAATTTTTTTTGTCTTATTCACCTTGAAAATGAATAATAAAATGATAACCATGTTTAATATCAAACTACTTGAAATTGTCCATCTATATAATTTTGACAAAATTTTCTCTATAATCTTCTTTCTTTTTTTAAATTAAAAATCAAGTTCCACATATTTATACAGTAAATCTATCGTTATTGTAATATACATGATTTATTTGTTCAGACCAATAACATGTGGAAAAAAAATCATAACAGTAAAGATACAAAAAAAATAATCCTAACACACCATATGAAAATATCATTCTTTTTATAGATTCGATATGAAAGACAGATCTATGTAATTGTATTTCATAGTTCACGTTAATCTTTTTTTACATGTCGTCGTTGTGTTACATAGAAAAGAATACTTAAAATTACAGTAACAGTTATAGATATACCAAAAAATATTCCTATCCGAAATTGTCCATATCGTAAACATTTATAACCATAATAACCATTTTTACATAAACATAAAAAATGATTTGGTCCATTTGAAACACAATATGAATTTGGTTCAATACAAGTATCAGTTGAGTTTGTACAAAAATCTTTTTGATGCATACAAACAATACCTATAGGATCAGTTGTTTTATTAATAACTTGCCAAATACGTTTTTCACCAGGACATGAATATTGTTCAGGTAAGAAAAGATAATCAAGATATTTCATACCAAGAAAATCATCTTTGTCTGAAGATTTAAGTTGAGGATTTAAACGAAGATCCATCATAGTTACATTTATTAAATTTGTAAATTCAATTAAATCAGGTACTTTGTTTAAATGCATTTCTGTTAAATCAATAGCTAAAATATTTGTTGAATTCGATAGAAAACAACATCGAAATTCTAATGAACCATTTTGAGATTTACAATAATCAATAACAGATTTACTAGTTGCATTACGATCTGTACATAAATTTTTCATTTCAAATTCACCATTGATAAAGACAAACAAAATACTAATTATACTAAATTTCATCATCTAAAATACAGACTAAATATCTTGGATTTTTTTTGTCAAATACATTACAATATCGATACAGAAAAATATGTTATAGATATAGACTGTTCTTTTTCTAATAATAGATACAATGTAAAATAATTAATGTGTTGAAATCTTTGATATATCTGTACAAAACAACAACAAGGAAAAAAGTTGAATGTCACAACACGAAAAAAAAAATAAGGATAAACAACATTAAAACAAAATCTGCCATTAAATTTGAATATATATTTTGTTTTGGTTTGCGTATAAGTATGTAAAGAGAGTTTTTTGGTTGTACAACAACAATGAAAACAAAAACAACATAAAAAAAAAACAAACGGAATAAAGAATAGATCATCAATTTATACGACTAGAATATCTAAGAAATGGAAAATAATGTTTTTCTTTTTATTATTATTTTGATTAGATGTCATCATTAATTAATAGCATATCTTTTTCAATATCTTTTTTTATTAAAGATTTTGGTAATTTATTTTGTAAATTATTAATAATATTATTTTGACCTTGAGTATTTGATAATGATGGAGATTGAACAGACAATGCTGTTGAAGTTCCACCTTCATGATAAGATGTATCAATAGGTGCTGACGTATTTGATGGTGATAATGTATTGATTGAACGTTGATTTAGACCATATGTTGATGTTGGTGCTCGATCATCATTTGTCTATTAATTATATTATAGAGAATTTAAATTAAATAATACAAAAAACAAATCATATTAGAAAAAAAAAACGTTAGTTCTATTAGTATTAATTCCTGTCACCAGAAAGCTTAAATATACCCGAGAAAGCTGAAAAAATACAGAAGGTCATCCTGTGTTCAGCTGAATATCCTGATAGATAGATAGATAGATTAATAGGTTCAGAATATAAATAGACGGAAAAATCTTACTTGTGCACTATATTGTGTATAATCTCGATATTGTGGATGAAAATTATGAATTGCATCTAAAATAAACATTTTATTCAATCGTTGATAAACAAAATGATTTAATTTACCATGCATTATATCTCTTGGATTCATTGTTTCTTTAAGATTAGTTGAAATACTTTGCATAGTTGCTATTCGTCCACCAATATTTGATGTTCCTGGTCCAGAATTTGATGATGATGATGATGTTGAAAAATAATTATCATGTGCTATATAAGGTTGATGTGGAAAAGCAAAACGAAGTGCCACAGCAGCCAAACACATTTCAATACAAATAAAAAAGTTTTGCCAACCTTTTGATAAGCAAAAAAAAATTAATTTTAAAGAAAATAAAAAATAAATCTATTCGAAATAAATTTTACTTACCAGCAGCAACAGTACCAACACTTAAATTTGTTTTTCCTTGAAATGCTTGAATAATACCAAGTTGTTCAAAAAGAGCCAAAAGAACACCTAAAATTAAATTCATTTTTGTTATTTTCTTCAAACAATATAAAAATAAATTAACCTTGCCAAAATGTCAAAAAAATCACTGATTTAATAGTAAGAAATTTCAATACAGGATCATATTTAGCCAAAATATGTTTTGTTGCTTCATAAAATAGAAATAAACCATAAAGTGCAACCGATACAGATACATTATAAATTAATGTTATATAAAGATAACCACCACTAGGCGAAAAATCTCCATCTTTATATTTATCGAATGCTTGTAAAACAAGTGTTACAAGAGCCATTAAAGGTTTTACTAAACAAAATTGAAGTGTTGCCTATAGAATAATACGAATAAATTATCAAATAATTTTCTCGTTTTCAATTTTGTTCTTTTACTTGTTTACAAAACCTTAAAAATCCAATTGTATATTCTTGATTTGAAATACAACATGTACATGTCCACCAGCTTCGTCTATAAAAAAAAAACAATTATTAAAGTTTATTGTTTAAAATTCAATAATTTACTCTATATGTTTTCCACGAATTTCTGCCATAATTGCCCCTTCACCACCCAAATACTCATAGCAAAGCGAAAGAAAGCTGTAGATGACAAAAGCTAAATATTTTGTTAAAAGAAAATTCAAAGCTTTTTCACTACTTAATTAAACAAACCTTCATAACAATCTCGAATCGCATGAAAATAAACATAATAAGAATTATTTCTAAACATAACTAAACTAAGCCATGAAACAAATGAATAAATCGGTACGATGAATAATAGACGAATGATCCATTTTTGTTCCGATGGTACAGTATAATGACGTAAATGAAGATAAATCTAAATAATTAATTATTTAATTCAAACAAAAAACAAATAGTAATTTATTTTTTGTGTTTCATACATGATAACCAGTTATAAAAATAGCTGCCCAAGTAAATGCTCCAGCAATAGTTTGACAAGCAGTTGTATGTAAAAATAAATGATTATTATAAACGACAGTCGTTGTTAAAGGTTCGATAGTTGATTGAGAAGTTGAAGAATTAATTAACATTGCCGGTAGTAATATTGTACTCATTTCCATTTTCTTCTATATATTTCTTATCTAAAGCGAGTTACAATATATATATATATATATATATAGAATGAATAAGAATCCAAAACAAACGTTGAAGAGGCCACTTTTATCATTGACCTATGTTGTTTTTTAAAATATTTACGCGATAGTAATATGATTCAATAAGTAACAAAACGATAGTCTTCGTAAAAAGTAATCAGAAATCGGAGCACATCTTTCTCGTCTTCGCTTACGAGTCATAAACACAACAACTATTTTTTTTTCTTTCCTCTTTTACTTAAATTATGCGATCACTAATATTGTTGGTTTGGCCATCTTTTTTTCTCGGCTTGTTTCTTATTGCCTCTACCACTA